TTTTGCGTGTGCCTTACGCAATCGCTTTTCTGAAATAACAAACTTTATACGTCATGTGGGATACCTCTCTTTTTTCCATGATTTGAACTGCTAATTTTAACCAACAATATATAGATAAAACATTGAATTATACTGCTGTAGTTGGAAACACCAACAGCCGTCACAAGGCCTTGCTCAACAGAATCTCCAAGACCACCGAGACCGAGATACCCTGAAAATTGATTTCCCAAATACACCTCTTCAGAAACAAAATGTAAATATTATATGTAACCTCCTAATTATATTAGATGGACAAATTTATTCAATGAAAAAATGGTGTTACATATGAAGTTATGAACAACCTTCATTTCCCCATATTCCAGGCCTGAAAAATAACACAAATACTTGATAAGATTTTGTAGTTACCTTAGCAGAAACAAGTATTTATACAAAGAGCAAGGGCTCATAAGGGACATACCAATGGAGTTGATACAGTTCCACCGAAGAAAGTTCAAGGCGATTGAGGGAATCCTTGAGGGCAGCTATGACACTTTGACGGCCCAGCCTTCACGACAAAGCTGCGAATTTGGTTGCGACAGCAACCTCTACTCCTGGATCCTTCTGTTTCCTTTCCCTGATAAATCTGTGCGAAATCCAGAGTAGTCTACTAATATTCTCAAAATGCAGAAACTGACGACAATTTGCTGTACTCTGTTGACTTGAAACAAGAATGATGCAGCACAAAAAATTCCTACAATGTACATTCCTAGTAGAGTTTCATAATTTACAGCACCAAAAGAAACCTGCAAGTGTAGATAACGATGAATTTGTTTTGACTGCAACAAATTTTATGGAAGAACTATAAGACGCTTTTCTCATCCTGGAGCCGTACACTTCAGCAGTATCAAAGAAGGTTATTCCACCATCAACACTGACATCGAAAGCAGCTTTAGCCGCTTTCATCTTCCTGTCTGCAGTTATTACCAAACATAATGCCATCACAAACACAATTGAGTAATTTAGCATAAAGATGAATAATACAAATGCAACTCACTTCTTATGTTCAATCTGAAGCCAGTGATGGGTTCACATTGTTATTGAAGGTGCAACAGGTGAGGCAAAATTAAAAAAACAGTCCTTTATATGCTAAAAGTTTGTCTTTTGATCCAAGCGATATTCTACTTTAATCTAATCTAAACTCGAGTGCATAGGGGGGGAGCATATTTACTCTGGCCAATGTGATTATATCGAGGTCTGTTATGATATAAGTTAATCTACAAAGACATAATAAAGGCTCAAAATTTCTCCAATTTGAAAACAAATTCTTAGTTATTTAATCATTTCAGTAAAGTTTAAGTGAAAATTCAGCAACTTAGGCTATCTCCAACCAAAGGGTCCAGAGAGCCAGAGGGCCGAAAATAGCCCAGAAACTGTCTCCAACAGAGGGTTCGTGGGCCCCACGGAATCTGAAAAGGGCAAAGGGCCAAAGGGTTGGCCCAATCTAGCCAGCTCCGGCCTAGCCAAAAATTTAAGAATTGTTGTTGGATATAATCGACACATTGTTATTAATCCTGTCGGTTATATCCGACAGGAATTCTTAAACAAATTTTTGAATCTAACCGTTACTTTTGAATTTTTTTTAATTTTTTTTATAGTTTTATTTTTTTTTTTTATTCACAAAATTTTTTTCCTATAACTTCTATTTTTTTCTATAACTTCTATTTTACAAAATTTGTTTCATATTTTTTTTAAATTCCATTTTTTTCCTATAACTTCTATTTTACAAAATTTGTTTCATATTTTTTTGAAATTCATTTTTTTCCTATAACTTCCTAAGCCATTATACAACATTAAATTAAATTAAGTAACATGAAACAACATTAAATAACATTAACGAACATATAAATTATACAACATAAAAAAAAACATTTAACAACATGAAAGAATGGATTGACCTGCTGGATATCACAAAGTAAACGCTCGAAGACATGACACCTCATCCGAAAATGATGTTTGAAATCCTCTTTTGTGTACACCGAGTTGGGTTGAAGTAGTTGTTCATCAAATTGGCATGCATCATCGCTCTGTCTCGTGGTTTGTAAGAGCAACCAGTAACAGAGCCACCCCGTTGAGGTTGTTCCTCAGTTGGCTGACACACCATGGCCACAGCCATGGCTACTGTTCTATTTTGTTTGTTGCGCCTTACTTGAACTTCTTCATCAGACTCCTCATCTTCTTGTCTCATTTGCACCCATTTTTCTTCCAATTTTGAATTGGATGAGGACCCCCAATTGGAATCCGAAGAGGATCCAAAGTTAGAATTCATTGCAAACTTGAATTGAAATAGATTAAATTCAAAGTTGTGTGAATTATAGTCCAATATCCACCCTATTTATAGCAAAAAAAATTTCAAATCCAACGGCTAGCTGACGTCACTTAGCCATTGGATTTGAATTTAAGTTGTAGTTTTTAAATAATATATTATGTTTGGCCCTATAGTCCTCGATTGGAGACGGTTTTTTGTGACAGGGCTAAAACGAACCCTATGGTCCTTTGGCCCTCGGTTGGAGATGAAAGCATATATGGCTTTATACTATTCATTAAAATATTAATTTCTTGGAAGGCTAAAGGCTAAAACGAGCCATCTGGCCAACCTTCGGTTAGAGATGGTCTTACCATCCCACTGGAAGTTATTCCAATAACTGGTGTCACCCCATGACCAAGCTCCAATCCCAAGCCTTGTCACCTTCAAATTAGAGCCACCCAATTTCACCTTATCATCCTCTGCGGTCACATTCTCAGAACCAACAGCTCTAACCCTAGGAACTCTCCTTTCACTCAAAGCAGAAAAACATGCACTGCTGACATACATAGCCATGGTTCCTAGGAACCAAACCAATTCAAGAAACATAAAACCAATCCAAAATAGCAAATGGGTTTTCGAAGTCGAAAAAGTTTGACAAAAACCAAGTCAATTTTCCAGAAGTCGGAAAGTACTTTTCTGAAAGTGAGGTTTCTAAAGTTTTAGAACTCCAAACTCCAAAGATACCTGGAGGGGCGGAGATAAAGATTTGCGGGAAATTAATGAGGAATGAAAGAAGTAGTTTGTGATGGTTGGGTGAAGAATTGAAGATTGAAGAGCTGGGACCGATGACTTTGGAGTGAAGAGAGACATGGTCCACGGAGTGTACATGTTCGTCTGCATTTTTCAGGTTCCATGAAATATGGACGGCTGGAATTGCATGAGCCATGGGTATCAAGTGACGAAACTTTTACCAAGTTCGCACTGCCCGACCAAAAGAAGACAACTTGGGGGATGGATGCTCTAGGAGAACATTGCAGGACAATTCAGGAACAGGATGATTGTTTGATCCACAAGCAAGCTATACTCAACGGTTAGATTCAGTTGCGATGCTACTGCAACATCCCTTTATAGTGCGCTTGGACTGTGGACGAGAAATCCGAAGCTGTTTGAAAGTGATTAAAACCTTGAAGTGGTTTCTACAAGAAATGATTATTACATGTTTTTTTGTCAAGCACTAAGTTTTTTTTTTTCCCTAAAAGCATGTACATTTTTATTATAAGTTTTGATGTATTTTTAATAGTTCGAGCTCATTGGGAATTATTTTTAAAATAATTGAAATCGATTTTATTTAAAATATTTTTAAAACCAATCATAGGTAAAAATCTAAGTGGATCCTGAAAAAAAAAAAAAATTCCTGCAAGAAGCACTTTAGTTGCTTTTGGAATTCAAAATCAATTTCACCAAAAGTACTTTCAGTCATTTTAAAAGTACTTTCAAACCAGCTCAGAGTTTTTATTTAAAGCGCTTATGAACAAAAGTTTTTTTTTTTTTTTTTTTTTTTTTTTTGAAAAATCGATATCATCTATACTAAGGTGAGAGAGATAGACTTAGTCTCACAATATGTTATTGATAATGTGGTTCAACTTTGTCTAACAAAATTAATTTTTAAAGAAGCATTTTCAAACGGTTAGTGCTTTAGCCTTTTCATATGCAATCTCAAACATGTCTTTGGTTAGAAAAGCAGAACAATTGGTAGAGGGTTCCAATGTTTCGAAATGCATTAGTTCGAATTGCATTTCAAATTCCTCATTACGAAATATAATTGGGCCCTTCAGCTTATAGCCCAAAGAATAATGGGCCAACTCCACTAGAAGATGGAAAAAAACTAGGAAGCTGTGTATTATGTTAGGCCCAGTCTTGCAGAAGGGAATGGAAGCAGATCAGTGAAATTCTATGCCTGCCCAAAAATCTTCCTGAAATTCCCAATCTGATTATTGTCATCCTTGTTTTTTGTGAGAAATAATCTAACCGATCATATTGGAATTAGATGCAAAGTACAGGGTCGCACAAAAAAAATAATATGAGAAGAAAGATAAAAGAAAGAAGAAAATCTACGACGTACGGCAAGATTGCGCAAAAAATAGAAAAGAAAAAAGAGGCAGGTTGTAATTTAGTGTTTTTGACTCGTTCTTTCAGTTTGTCGCATGTGTACATAAATCATCTACAAATATACATTGAAATTATGCTGCTATTTGGATCATCAGCAACTAATGACCCCATATTGGTTCGGCGACTGCTTGCAGCTTTCATTCATTTCATTGTACTAGAGGTTGACAACCAACAAACCAACAACTTGTCGACATTATTGATGGATTGGCATTGACAGACAAGTTGTTATACACCAAGATAATATCCGGTTAATTAACCATTTACTTGGTCAGCTAGCTTTTGTTAACTAAATTGCCAACTTTACTTTTAGCTGCTAAATTTTTGCCACAAGTAATCTAAATTTGGTCGAAAACCTCAAAACCTTAATCCCTGATAGAGTGAATTTGGATCCATCCTTGCACACATGCCTTAACCAACCGCTACAAATCTTCCATTCTTCCGCCTCTCTCAAGATTCGAACTTTCAGACATCTTCCAAAATTGGATTAACCGCTAGACTAACAATGAGTGCACTTAAGTTTTACGGATTACAATCCCAAAACGAGAACTGATTAAATGGCAGTTGCATTTGGAACTTCTCAAGAACAATATACATGCTTCAGTAATAATCAAACGACTGTCTGGTTTCTGTCCCTACAACAGTAATATTCAGTTTTTCTTACCCCTACATTTACCTCTTTTGGAACATGATAATCCACTCAACTCCAGAGATATCGGGGACATATCATTTGCGTTGCTAAATGAAACTATTCGTACTTCTTCCAGTTCAGCTTTGCACTAGGGATCTTGCTGAGGACGCCAGTATCCAACTTCCGGTAATTGTGTTGAAGCTGCCCGAGGACCTGATATACAAAGTTGTCAACCTGATCCTCATATCTCTCGTACAGAACCGGCAATGTGTGAGCAGCAACAAAACCTAATAAAGAACGACAGATCAGTTCTCTTGCATATATACCACAAAACCGTAGTATGCAGTATGCACCATAAAAACTTACGGATTATGATTAAGTGGTTAGGTAACTCCTATAAGCTTGAAAATGACCACACAAAGAAAAAATTGCAAATGCAAAAAACACTTTCAATTGCTTTTAGATTTTTGTTTTCATTTCACATAGCATTTCCATACAAAATTCTTCCACCTCCCACCGCCCTTCCTTGACCCTTCTTCATTCCTCTTGTTCTATGATATATTTCCTTGTTGTCTCTAACCAAAAAATGAAAATTAGAGACCAAAAACGGAAAGGTTACCAAACGGGTCCTTAATTTTCAGCCGCTGTAGCTAAAGATACTACTTAATACTAACACTTAGTTTTCATTTCCATGCAGAGAGTGATGGATCAACTACAAAATAGTGAAACAAAACTAAGTTTTGTTATGCAGAATTTGCAAATGCAAACTTCGGATGACAATCAAATACTTTTTCTCCCAACCATCTTCATGGTTATCCCAAAGTTCAAGCATCCTATCGACAGAACATGTGCTATATCAGATCATATGGCAATAAGAGAGACTTGTTATCAATAGTCGTTGGAGCTCTCACCAATGTACACAACGGTCAGAAAATTGCACCAGCTTCCTATCACAGCAGCAATCCACAAGCTTACTACAACCTGAGAGGATATCTCAACAGTTCAGCACAAACTTCAAAGACTAAGACATTTGAGGACTTGCATAGCAGTTATCAGATCCACCATAGATGGTTGAGATGCATAGTGAGTGAAGGGTGGATGAGATGTATTTTAATCATATCTAATATAACAGCTGAAGTGCAACCCTTCAGTAACATTCTCAACTTAGATCATTTCCGTATAATAAATATAGAAAGAACAATAATAGTTCAAACATACCACAAGAAATTGCTTCACATTTCCTTCACATGCCACATCTTGAACAAATGCCAACCCTCGATTAATTTCAGCACCAATTGAGACGGCAATATTGACAAATAAGTCCTTAGGCAGAACAAGTCGAGGTACTTTAGATGGGGACCTGCCACCAAGGAGAAACAATACTGATATCACAATATTCATCTCTACTGTACACAAAAAACAGAATCAAGCAAAACGAAGAAGCTCAAAACTGAACATTGCAAAGTAACCTGTTAATCATGCCCGAAAAATTTGACCACAGAAACTGAGCAATCATGCCAAGAACCAAAGCAAACCCCACAAGAGTCAAGAAATGATAATTGAGCCATTCGAAGAGCACCCACACAACAGTCGCAGCAGTTAAAAAACTAGCCGAAATTTTTTTGTTCCTCCACAACAAGACATCAGCAGCTACATAATTCGACCACAAAAGAGGAAAATTAAATATAAGGAGACTTGGTGGAAGGAACAACTTCTAATTGCATAGATCACGGTCATTGCACGTAACGAAACAGAATTATCCTACATTTTCCTCCACCCAGAATGTGGTGGACAGGTTTCTGGCGTCCAAACAGCCGGTTGAAGTTGAACTGAGTAGTGACTGAGCTTGATGTGTCTTCCCCAAAAAAAGAACCAGGTTTCTGTTTTTTATCAGCAAGTGTGCCCACAATGTTGTTCAAAATATCCTCGGCATTTATTTTCTCAGACATTGCTGCTACACACTAAGAAAACAAACTCTAGTCAAGAGAGAAACTTTACTACTCTGAAAACTTGTATCAATACAATTTTTTTTTTTTTTTATGTATTCGTAATTATTTAAAAGCAAGAACAAAGAAACAAAATTTTTCCTCGGCCTGAACCCCATCCCCATCCTCCCCAGCCCGACACCGCCTAAAAAAACAGATTTATATTTTATACAAGGAAACTGCTATCCATATGATATATTCTCTTTATACATGATCAGCAGAAAAAAAGATTTGTGCTTATGCATCATTCAACCTTTATATACCCATACAAAAAGCACAAAATTCTCTAAGCTACCCAGATTCTCAACGGGACCATCGGGTCAGTCACATGAACAGACGTCATAGAAATTGCTCTAAGCTAACCAGATTCTCTCAGCATCCAAAAATTGTAGACCACCAAAAGGAAAAAATTCAGAAAAATATCTTGCAAAAGCAAATTTGGAAGATCACACGACCAAAATTTGCATTAAAAAGCCTCTTTACCACAAGACCCACAATCATAATCCAGTTTGAATCTCATGATCAAAGAAGCTATATATATGCTGTGAATAATCAACCCAACGGTCCACCACTACCAAGATGTAGTTTTGGAAAATGGAAATCATAACGAAACATATAAACAAGTTCGAATTCAAACAACTCCACCAAAGATCCCAAAATCTATTGACCCAGAAATCCAATTTCACGTATGAACTAAAATCAACTGCCCTCTAACAAAATCACTTCTTGAAAAGCGAAACCAAACAAAGAAGCCACAATCAATTCAACCCCATTTCTACAATTCAAAGCATCAAATTTCATAAAATAAAATAAAATACAATAATTTGCAGAATTTCAGCCAAAAATAAAGAAGCAAGAAAGAGTAGTTGAGAAGAAAAGAACTGGGAAAATGGCAGATGGGTTTTACCTGACCAGATGAGATTAGAGCAAGAGAGAAGAAGCAGAGGATGATGGGTTTTGCTGGTGGATTATGAATTGTTATGGCATATGCGTGCAGAGCACTGAAGTTGCAGAGGACAAGTCCAAAAATTAACACTGAATGGCGTGCAGGACTCGAATATGTATAAAAAAAATAAAAATAAAACAAGACCAGACGCAGTCAAACAGCCGCCACATGCATTTCAACCTTGAAGACTTGCAGTTGGTAAACCGTAAACTGTATTCTTTTTTCTTTTTGGTGAAAAAAAGTTATATTTAAATCATTCGATTGGTGCAAATAAAAAAATTCCTGGTGGATTGGTGAATTGTCATAATATTTGGAGTTTTTTTTTTTTTTTTTTTGTCAATTTGCTGCAAGTTGAACTATTTTCTATCTTTTAATATAGATTCGTGTAGAATATAACATTTAATAAAAAAGAATTTAAAAGATTGTAATATTAATGCAGCTTAGCGCTGTTGTTTTATCAATACCTCAAAGATGTATTATGTAAAGGAGAAATAATTTTCATCGAATTCGTCATTTTTGAAATTCAAAAACTTTCAAGTTAAGTTGTTTTGACTTACGCATTTTGTAGATTTGCTTAAAGTTCATTTTTTAAGTACTAATATTAATAATAATAAAAAAATCAGTTAAATGTTATTCTTTTCACTTATGAAGCTACCACAACTGTTTTATTTTATTTTTCTCAAAAAGATGATCAGTTGATAGTTTTATCATGATAGTTTGCTCAGCATCAGAAATTAAATACAAAACATATCGTATAAAATTCGTGTATAACCGCTGTCAGCGGTGGTTGCCTGTTTTTATGAGACCCTGGCTGACCTCTAAAAGGACAGCAAGTAGAGTAATAGTATTCAATTACTTGCCAAAGATATACAAAAGGAGTGTAATATTCACACACCATATTTTACTTCTCATATATTTTTTTAATTTTCAACCGTTGAATCGAATGAATTGAAGAAGATCAATGAACATAAATTATCAAAGAAAGTGTAAGAAGTAAAATGGGGTATGTGGATAACACACTCCTATACAAAATGACTACTACTATCTTGACGGGACAAAGAAAACAAAAAGAATATTATATTTCTCCAACAAAAATAAAATGGGTGGAGCTTAAAACCCAACGCTTTTCAACATTTTCATGCAAAATATATTTTGGGTCCGGTAGCATGTGTTTCTATCATGCAGAATTTAGTTTATATATACCATTTTATCAAAGGAAATTAATATTATACTTGTCTTGGCAAACTTTCCATTTCTGTTGTATTTTGTTTGGTCATCAATTTTACCAATTTCGAACAATTTAACGATTAAACTAAGAATAATATTAAAGAAATAAAAAAATTTAAATTAAATTTGCAAACCAAATGATGTGGTTATAGGTGATCTGATTATTAATTAAATGTCGGTTAACGTGTTTATATCTTATTGATGACACATCATTTAATTTGTAAATTTAATTTTAAAATTTAATCTTTCTAACGTGATCAGTCACGAAATATTTCGTTAGAATTCATTAAATTCTAATTTTAATTGTTTCGTTAAAGATGTGCATTTTCAAGGCAGGTGGGCAACTATATATAAAAGAACACATTAAATTCCCATACCTACCCTAGGCTGAGGCAGGGCCTAGTGGTTGTTAGTTATCCATTTATAAGTTATTTGATTGTGCAAGCACGAGGACTGTGACTTGAGGATGAGGAGGTAGCATTTATATATGGCACAAAATGCATCCTTATTGGACAATTTGGACACCTCTCATATCTTCCCCCATTCTTCCTGTATTGTATTTTGTAACCGAAATTGAATCCCTCGTGAATTTGATTACAATATTTATAAGTACTTAATATTATCTTCATTTGACGGGTAATTATACGTCAAATATGCTATAATAACATTCAAAAAGCATATATGACAATGAAATAGCCGGTCTCAAAATTATGAGACTAGTCAATTGAAATGGAATTGCAAATATGAAATATTAAGTACATGATCACTCACTTGAATTGTAACCTCAGAAGCATTATTGAAACCATGACAAAGATGTTCACAACATGCATGTGGAACTTAATTAAGTACATGAGGTTCACGTGAACATTTGTGAAAAATTAATAAAATGATTTTGTATGGTGTACAATGGACAGGATTGAGTACTACCCAACAGCGAATTGTTTCCTCCTAACTTTATTATTTGTTTTGAAGTCAGTAGACTATTGTGTTACTTTTTTGAAGTGAGTCTATCGTGAGAATAAAATATCCGCATAAAAATCTACGTTGTTTTCAAACCGAGTTTATTCATTGCTAATGCATTGACATCAGCGACTTGTATCCAGCCACACAATATAACTTATTCAGATAAAATTCACTAACCGTATGTACATACGCTTGTCTATAACTTACAAGACTTACCAGGTCCTAATTAATCAATGTCTATATTATCTTGTACAACCTAACAATTCAAGAACTTAGTTTAAGTTTGTTAAGGTTTATATGACATTGCTTATTAGAAAGCATTTGTGCCCATGAACACTGTTGCAAGAAGTGCTTATATTAAAAAGTCGTCAAATTATTATAAATTTTTAGGCACTTATTCATGAAGCATTTATACGATTTGCAAAATGATTTTAAGGGTTTTTTTTTTTTTTTTTTTTTTTAGGTCAAAGTGCAATTTTTATTACAAACCAAAAGCAAACAAAGATACAACAAAAGCCCAATGCAAACACATGGACAAGCAAAAAGTGGGCCAAGTCAACACAAAGTACAACAGGGCCAACCAACCGTTGTAGCCCAAATATATAGACGGATTTACAAACTCTAGAAGCAACCATTGCAACCGTCTCCGTCGCAGCAATCTCGATCCATCCAATTCCTCCTCCATAGTCGAGTATCTCCTCTTCAGACATAGCATCCTACCCCGATCAGCTTCATGAGCACAGCCACAAAGTACGGATAGCCAGCAACACCACAATGGAAGCCAGCTATTGGGATGAAGTCCGTGGATGAAGGAAAAATTTTGTCCTAGCTAAGAACATGTAAGAACATTTGAATACATATGCAAACTAATAACTCTTTAAAGTAGGCATGCATTCAAAAACAATTCATAAAACCCATGACTTTCAAAGCCTAGTATATGGTGAACCATAAGACTCTTTAACAAAATTAAAGAGAATAAGAATTTAGAGATTCTTTACCCTTGAAGCTCATCCTTGATTACACAAGGGATTCACCCAAGTGGAGGGCCTTCAAGTCACCTCCTTGCTCCTTGAATCTTCCTTGTGATTTCCTCCCTTTTAGTGCTCATTTTCTTCTTTGAGGATTTGAGGATTTGTTCTCCAAAACACCAAAAGTTTGGTGTCTCTAAGTCTCCACACCAAAGATATTGTGTGAAGATGAAATGGATGACTTAGGTAAGAAAGATTGCTAGATGTTCCTCACCTAAGGTAATGAGAGAATAGGTTTCACCCAAATTCAATTAGAAACCCCTTAAGGTGAAATGGCTATAAAGATGTATTTATACCACCTCACAATGGAGTGGCAAACTTGCAATTAAGCCAAGTTCACTACCCTTAAGGTTATGGCCGGCCATTTAATGTTTTTGGGCTTAATTGCCCATTTTGTTTTAGTTGTCATACAATCTTAAACATAATGGGCCTTGTGGGCCAAAACGTTTTTGTGCCCCGAAGCCCAAAACTAACTTAAACGCCCAATACGAACGTTTCGTATAATTAATTAACTATTTAATTAATCTTGACCATTCTTCAATTAAACCATTTAATTGCTTATCCATTTCATATAATTTCTTCACTTATATCTTTACTCGGTGTACGATCCATTAGGTTCCAATTAGCGAGGTAGTGGGCGATGTTACTCTTAACGAACGATTGTGAATTGAAACCACATTTCAATTCTCCCTTAAATTAGTGTTTGCTAATCTTTAGGGCTTCCACAAACCATGGGTGACGCCTAGCAGCATGTCATGGTTACCCAAGCTAAGTAGAAGTGGTTGGAGAACCTATCCAGTTACAACTACAATGCAATACGGTCCTTCTCTAATACAATACTCTTAATCACATTGTTTAAGTGATAGTTTGTTTCATGTCTCCTATCCAATGTGATACTTCTCTATATGATTCAATCGAATAAGATTTGGAACATCTTCCTTAGTCATATTCATATGCTTTGGCCAAAGACTCTCGAATCATATCTTAGAGTATTCTCCTTCCATCATGGAAGGTTAGAGATCCCTTGTTGTACATTCATATGCCTACATGACTAGATAGCTTGACCCCAACAATGCCGTGGACACTCCAATGGAATGCCGTTGACATAATCAAAGATCAAGGACCTAACCATTAGACATCAATGATGCCTCAGGTCAAAGGACTACTTTGCATATTGCAACTATTGAGTTCTCACATGACATGTATGTTCGAACTCTTGTTTGATCGTAGTTCAGTGTACTCGATTACTCTTTCGAGCACCTATGTGTTTGCCTTAGTGTCCAACACTAAATGACTTGAGACTAGTTCATACTCACGCTTTGAGTCGACATAACACATACTAACCTTAGCGGATTGTCAATGCCCAATTGGCAATCCTATGGCTAGGAACGTTTTAGGAATGAACATAAGAGAAAGGTCTCGTTAATTTAACTAACTTAAATCACTTGTCTCTTAGATCAAATACATTCCTTGGATTCCCTTATTGCTTAAACACAAGATACTATAAATAGTGATTAACAATAAGCTTTGCCCTTCTATTAAACATATAAAAGTTTAACACAATAAGTATTCCAAAAAGCTATTACATCAAATGAGTGGCTTTGTGAGCATACTTCCAACAATCTCCCACTTGCACTCAAAGCCATCCTCCCATGTATCTAATACCCATCTTTTCCATATGGCGGTCAAGTTGGATTTGAGACATTAGCTTCGTTAGTGGATCTGCTACGTTATCGGCCGAAGCAACTTTGAGGATGTTGACTTTCCCCTCGGCAGCATATCTTCTAATGATATTGAAGCGCCTATCAAAATGCTTGTTCTTTTGATGTGCCCTGGGTTCCTTGGCTTGAGCTATCGCCCCATTATTATCACAGTACAAAGTTACTGGTGACGTAATGGTT